CCCAAGATGAGAGCTATTTAATTTAATGGTGGCACACAGGTAGGGAAATACATTGACTTAAGTAAAGGGGGACAGACCTACTGTTACCCAGTATTATATGCCTCTTGGACATATTTAAACAAAATAAAAGCTGACATATTTTGACTACTAACCACATTTGTTAATAATTAGCTTATTTGTATAAAACAGCAGATCTAATAATATACAGCATTATTACACCCATTCCTTCTCATTATTTATAATTTACTTTCTATGTAAGATAATGATTTGGTGGTATAAATTCACAGAAATGCAATGGCCCTGATTTATACAGATAAGTTAAGCGATCTATTGTGTAAGCGTAAATCTAGCCAGTAAATGCATTCTCGGTTTTAAGCCAAGCTTATCCCAGACAGAATAGTAAGTATGGACTTCCAGTTCTCATTCAAGATTACCACAATTCCATTTCACAGAAAATAAGACTTTTTTCATAAAAGCCCTCCCGATATTGGATTTCCAGCATGTTTGATTAAAATCAGGCCTCAGATTCCTCATATTAGGAAAATATGCTGCCTTAAGCATTTCAGAATCTAAAAGTTCACTTAAGCCTTCTAATGCATATTGCTCTTCGACCCAGAGGCCTTCACCCTAACCTTTCTCACCCCCTTTTTTAACAATTCCTGTCAGCTCCAAACACACTCTTTACCATTATTCATAGACAGCTAATACAGTATTCCAGTGAATTGCTTGCAGATGTGCAGAATATTAAATGGCTTCCCGCATTTTCCTGGGGGCAGTAAATTTTGCATTTGCACAGAAAAGAAAAAAAAAAATGTTGGCTAGATAAGAAATCATGCTGCATGCACTGCCTCGTCAGCTAGATGGACAATTTGCCTTTTTCAAGCTGAAAGCCTGGGCTGCCAAAAAATGAAGAAATATGGTCTCAATTTGATTTTATCCTGTGCTCCCTTTTGTTGATTAACCTGTTTCTGTTGTTCAAATGAATTACACCAGGCTCCTGCTTCTTCCACGTAATTTTATCAAAAAGACAACAAATCAGCCGTACACTGACATCCTGCATTGAACTGGAACACATCACCAAGCTATATTTTCTTGAAAAGAATAGTTAGTGTGCTTAATCTTTATCTAAAGGCTGTAATAAAGGGTTTGCTGTCAGTAGTGGGTATACAAAGTTAAGAGAGCCAAAGGTATTCTTAATCACCCTTCCCCTTTATACATCATCTTTTTCCCCCCAGACTTACATAAATGCTACTTGAAAACTAATAAGATGATTAGGTTAGTCTAACAAGACCTGTTGAAAGTTCCTCACCGGGTTTCATCCACAGCAATACTTTTTCGGAATTTCCGAATACAATGTAATACAGAACAACCAATATAAATCTCTTCATAATTTGAGACTTACCAAATTCTGTTTATATATTCTTTATCTGAGCCAAAAACCATCTTTCAGCTTACTGCCAATCTGTTTACAGTAAGTAAACAGTTTATGTATCTACATGGAAGCTGAAAATAGAGTATTTACCACATTAAAACAGAATCTGCATGAATGCTACTTAGCTGATGCAGCTCCGTTCTTGAATATGGATTCTAGATTTAAATGTAAGTATAACAGAAATACAACAATATTACATAAAAAATAAATAAGTGATTTATGCAATACTAGCAGCAGTGCCTTTCTTCTTATTCTTGTCACCGAAGCTGAATAGCTTTATGGTGTCAATACGCACATTTTTAAATTGGCTGAAGACCTGATTTGTATTTCCAATTCTGAAGGCAAGGAACTACAGCTCCAGCTGCCAAACATTTTGTCATCTGGACAAATACATAACAGTTGGCAACGTGATTTTAAATTTTGAGTGTGGGTGCCTTGCTTTGTATTTTAGTGTGCAATGCACATTTCCTTGAACTGCAGCCCCTGAGTGATACCTTTTGCTCTTGCCACAGGATATTGATCTACAGTTGTTCTCTTTCTTTTCATGGGACTAAGTAATTAAACCCTTCTTTGTTTCTATCACTTTTTCATCACTTGTGCAGAGTACCCGCTTGGAATAAGGGACAGATCATCTGTCATCTCACACTTCCATAAAACAAAGTCACTGGCAGAAACCAGTTCATAAAATAATAGTGACAGTCTGAGCATCCCATTCTTTATATGAATTTCTTATCTGAAAAATAGAAAACCAAAGAAGTTACCTTTTTCTACAAGAGAAAAAATGATGTCATTAATCTCCACAGAACCTTGGATAGTGAAGCACATAAGACCATTCCAAGTTGAACCTTTAATACCATATATTAAACATATAATTTCATCCCTGGAATATTCAAAAACTGTGGTCGGACAGTAATGTGCACTATATATAATAAATATATGTGTGTGTGTGCATATAGTTCCATGTCAATATGTAAAGTATTTTACAAAAAAGTTACCTTAAAGGCAACTAATGAATAATAACACTAAGGATGTACACCTTACTCTTTAATTTTGTAATATATGCACAGAGCAGATTTGTTTGGTTTATACTGTAAGATGATATATAAAACTTAATGGTATTAATTTTAAACACTCTGCTAACCGGAATATTGACTTCTGATTATGGAGAAGAAAATTAGTTTACATGGCTAACTATGAATTACTTTAATACTAAAATAAAATCATCCAACGATATCAAACCCACAAATGTTAGCTAAAAAGGTTTGCTTAACTGTGTTACAGTGCATTTATAATTCCTAGATCAACATCTCCCAACACGTAATAAATTGTATTAAGGCAACCTGCCCTAGAGTTGAAGTGTTGCTGGTGATAATCCAAGGGTTATCATCAATTAGAAACAGACACATTCTCATCTACTTAAAAAACTCTAACCACAGTTCACAAAGTTTGTATTATTTCTGCAATACAGGACTTAATTAATACTTTTACCAAGACTAAACCCACACTGAACATATACAGTATCATCTAATATATTGGACATATTGTATAAATTTGATCAAAGTCCTTCATAAAGTAAGATGATTAATAAAAATAATTAAGATAAATATCTGCAATGTCAATAAATATGTTGAGATAGTAAAGAGGAAAATACAAGAAGTTAAGGTCAGTACATTCTTCGTAAGGATATATAAAATCTCCGGCATACGAGAATTCATACACAGGTAATAATTAGTTTTCTGGAGTATTTCAAAACTATCAAAACATAAACCACTAGGAAAAACAGACTAGTCCGCCAGGAATTGAACCCAGGACCCGAGCGCTGTGAAGTAACAATGCTAACCACTGTACCACTGTGCTGCTTAGAATAAACAAACAAAGAAGTAAATTATTAAAATGCTGATTACGAAGATTAAAATATTTGATAATAAAATGAATCTTAAAAGAATTAAGATTTATATTGCTCTCTTTTTTTCTTTTTTTGCACCTTTATATTAGGGTGACTGGTTTGTATTTTAAAAAAGTTGCAATTAAACCAGAGTACTGAGAAATTACAAAAAGCCTTTCCTTCCTTTATTAAAGATGTTCCATTTTTCAGAACAAGTGGAAGGAAATAATTATCAGCATGATGAAGCATAGGAGACATTTAATTCTCTCGTAGATCAATAGTAACCAAGGGAAGGTCATTAAAAATTTTCTTCTTTTGGTTCACTTAGGGTTCCAATTTGACAATAAAACTGGTATCTTAAATGTATTTATTTTCTAATCTGTTGCTTTTATTCATGTCTTAACGTTTTGTACCATTTTTCTCTCTGACGACTCGCTAATGAACAAAAAACAAGTTTAAAATGTAGCTACGTGGGGTCTGAAGTCATCCAGTCCTCCAACAGCTGGGTGTGAAGCTCCCAGCAGGTTGGTTCTGAATTCTATCTGACACCAAGATTATATTTTCTCCACTACAGTTTCAGGCAGCAATATCTTAAAGGTCACCTTCCTTGTGTGCCCCATGTTACCACAAAGCAAGCTTACATTCAGCTATGGCAACACTTTGATTTCCTTCCAAAGCCCTCAGGAGATGTTTACGAACTGCTTATCAGAAGTGAGATTTCTATTGAAGGGCCTTGTGTTGAATGAAGCAGCTGCTGTCAAAGAAATAGTAGAGTTTATGCTGATCAGATCTTGGCTGAAAGGTTAATGGTGGGGTTTTCAAATCTTATTCCCCAGCTGAACAGGGTGAAATTAAACTACTAAAAAAAGTCTGAAATCCCTCACCTCTTGTCAAGTTAACCTTCATACCATACACATTAAATAATATTGCTCTGTTTTTAGTTTGACTTAATGGATGAAAGCTGAATTGTTGTTAAAGAGGATCAGTTGAGCTTTAACTTAGATTAGTGGAGAATATTTTAGGTCTATAAAGTACCACTGAGAGCTTAAGTGAATAATTTCTTTATCTACGAGCTTGGATAATATTTGTGTCATATTTACCTATTCTTATACATGACAATACATTCAATTCTTATACATGAACCAAACATTACAGAGTTCTCCTCATCTGCCCTTAATATATTTTTAGAACTAAAAATCAATGAAAATTGAAGCATGCAGTTTGTACCATATTTAATATCATCCACACTCACCTTACATTATTTATTAGAACCTATCACTTCATTAATATTTAATTGTTTTAAGTTCTTAGACTGCTAAGGTTTATTAGCAAATGGAAAATACGGTGCCTGATAGTTATGTGTGCTTTTCATCTTAATTCAGAAGCACTGCAAAAGTGCTTTTGATCTTCTTTACTCTCCTCCCAACCTCTTGTGACCATGACTCACTGTGAAATGTTGGTTTAGATGCAATTTATAGAGCAATTTATAGAGCAACGTGCACAAGGAAAACAATGCTGAAACATATAACAGTTAAGGATAATTCTAGAAGTGTCAGTGCCACTATTATTTCCATAGACCTCTTTTTGTTTGTGTGCCTTTCCCAAAGATGTTAAACAACTAGATTACTTTCCCCTGGACTCTCTTTTTTCCCCATCTCAGAGTAAGAAGCAAAACATACTCACAGATATAATAATATTCTCTGCCTGGTCGGAATTCAAATCCCAAAGAGAAGGGTGTGAAGAGCTGGAACTTTTCTGAAAACTTGAGTGGTCCATTGGGGGAGTGAGGGCGGTTGCACTCCCATCTCTTGAAACCTTTGGCAGTGTGATCGCACGTACTGTATCCATCGTAGTTCACCATGTAGAGAACGTAGCGCTCTGTCTTGTCTTCCGGTACTGAATCTTCATAATGAGGACAAAACACATCCAAGTAGTCATTTATGCACACGTCGATGTGGTAGTCTCCTCTGTGGAACCTGTGAGACACAAACATTTTCGTTCAATAAATCGCTGTTGTTTGATAAAATGTGTTACTTCACAGATCTGATTTTGTTGTTAACTGATACGATGGAAAACATGCATGACATAATATATCGATGAAGTATTCATCTTGTGTGTTCGCATTACATAGCTATAAATAGTGCTTCATTTTTCCAAATTCTGTAAATGTCTTTAAATGTACATTACCTCTCTTTATACTTCAAGCGAATGCATGAAAATGTTAAATCTTTGTCATAATAACTTAAAGATTTGTTTTTTTTAAATAGAGTAGTGGGTGTATGAATCTATAAAAGAATGCTATGTTTATTTCCAAACCATACCAGATGTTGATCACCCACAGTCAAAAGTGGTGAGAGACTGCTTAAATATGTATCTCTCTGGTGACAGAATGCTCTCTCAAATATACAGTATCTTAACATTAGCATAGTAATAAAAATGGATGAACACTCTGGTAAGGTTTTATCAGAGAATTCTACTCAGAAAATTACCTTTAAGATACAGAGCATATTTATATATCTCAAGGGACACAAGATAGTTATAGACTTAGCTTTTTGAAGGGGTCATTTTCCTGAAGCAATATCATGCTGATAAATACATAAAAGTACAACCTATAACATATAAACACATTATAACACAATCCATATTTCTGAAGCCTCACATAGTCTCACATTGCTACGTAATGCACAGGAATAACCAGACAACCATCTTTGGCTATCACAATCAGAGAAAATAAAACGTGCTAACATCAGTAGTACATAAACTCATTTAAACCAAACACTTTCAACTGGAAAATGTACCCCCACTGGCTGAATTAGCAACAGTCACAGTTTTAACAGTACCTAACTAGTACTGCTTTAACAGGTTTTAACAGTGCCTAAAAGGTTATTCATCGTACATCTCAGCCCTTTTAAAAAGTAGTTTCATTCTTTTGCCAAAGTACACAGAGTCATGAGACACCCTGTATATTATGATAAAAAGGGTCCCAGCAATATTAATTATCAGTACTCTGCTTATCCTGACAGCCCTGAACAAGTGCCAGCTGAGAAAGCAGGCCTTAGACAGCAGCACAGATGTTTTTACTGACACAAGAGTTTTCAAGATGTACAGGGGAGGAGGTCTTTTGCAACACTCTCTCTGAATTATATTGTGTCTAGGACACCTCATCTTGAGAACATATATTGTACAACATTGGCCAAGTATTAGTGACCACTTTTTTGGCTCTCCAACTAACCCTTCAGATTTATTCATACCCCCGATGAAATAGCAACAAAATAGATCATATAAAAGAATGAGATCTGATAATGCGTCTGGCTTGAAACGATACAAAAATTGTTTGGCTGGGAAGCACACAAAAAATAGCAGTTTGAATTTACTGCCCCAATACCAGCACTGTACTGTATGTGTATTTATTGCTTACTTCACAGGAACAGTCAATTTGTTCTCTGGTTTTACTTTTCTTCTGCAAATGAGCTCAAAACGCAAACATTTAACTCAGACCCATGCTTCAGACTTGCCATACTTTAAGGCTATATATTAAAAGGCAACAGGAGAATGGGTGGAATGGTACAGAAGCTGCATTTACATCAGGCATGTTTCCATTACCAGTTCGAACGTTGGTTTGGCACCTACACAAGGAGGAGAGTTAAGAGCTGCTAATAGACCAATGCAGTGCTGACACAAAACCACAAATTGAGACTGATATGTGAGACTGTTTTCTCTGTTCTCTGCGAATGCTTCCACAAAGGGAAATCATGCTGTGGTTGTGTGCCCTCGAGCCTTCCCCACCTTGTTGTACACGTATGTGCTCAGCATCTCCGTTTTCCCTCTTAGCAATATTTAGCCCTTTTACCTCAATGTGTCTCACAATTCCAAGGAGTGAATCCTCAAGTGACTTAAGAGAATGACAATAAGCAGTTGGTTATTAATAAGTGAGGTGTGAAAACAGCTGGACAGATTTTATATCTATTAGAAAACTACCAGCTATTGCAGGTCATAATAAAAGATCAATGCCAATCCCATGTAAGTTTTTCTTACAGTATTTTTTATATAGCGCCTTTCATACCAAGACCTCTTAAAGCTATTATTGTAGAAGTAACAAATCAAAAGTATATAGATATAAAGGACATGTTGTAACACAGAACAAAAAACAGCTATTATTATTTAAAGTTAGGAAATGGTACCCTGACAAAATGCATCTTTAAATGAGATGTGAAAATGGAAAAGATGGGGAGGTTTCTACAGTCCCAGGGAGAGTGTTCTATTATTTTGGCCCATTTTGGTAAAAAAAAAACCACGGCTAAGTGTATGGTGTCTTGTCATGGGGACACATAGCAAAGAGCAGAATGGAATGCAATAGATCAGCACATCTTTTGGGTTAGAAAGAGACTGTTTAGTGCTTTGTAGGTCATGAAAAGGAATTAGGACACTGGGAGCCAATACAGGGAGGCTAGAAGAGGAGTGAAGTTCAGGTGGGACTTGGATATGCCTACAATCCTAGAATTTTAAACATTTTGTTTATAGTGTGCCACAATTGGAGCATTAAAGTAATCTAATATACAAAAAAATGCTGAACAGTTTCTCATCATATGACATACATATGGTTAGAAAATGATACATATGGTTAGAAAATGGGCAATTTTATCCAGGAAAAGAAAGACACCCTTGTAATGTTTCTGAAAAAAAAAAAGATTTTACAGAAGAACATCAATGCTTCATCTTGGCAATCAATGACGAATCTAAATATATCCAAGTTGTGCAGTTTGAGTGGTAGTTCCAAATGCATCACCTCTGTCTTGTCACTTTTGAGCTACAAAATGTTTCCAATCTATATGATGTGATAAGCAGTCTGTACGCATAATCTAAATCTGCGTCTGTCTTAGTTTTCACATTGATGTATGCGTCATCAATGTAACAGTTAAAGCTAACACCTTTAGCAATGAATAATCTGGTCAAAAGAAGAGGTCTTTCTAACCTTTTGTGGTCTTGCATTGTCTTGATAGAAAATCGACACTTCAGGATTAGAGTGCAGGAACAAAATGACTGTTAGCTCAAGGACTTCTTCAATGTGTTGCAGTGTTGTATGCCCTCAATCTTTATCAAAAGTGCTGTTTTGAGATGCTGGTGAGACACTTCACCAGTTGTGAAGAACAATACAACAGAAAAACACTCAGCATGACACTTCAACACACCTTGTTTCCCTCATGTCAATGAAGATACAGTAGTAATCAAGGCCCACAAAAGACGGTTATTTTCTTTTTTGGCTAGCAACATGTTACCCCTGACAGCCTCCAAGCATGCAGATCATTTTCATGATGACAGGTCATTTTGTTGGTACATCTGTTATTTCTCATGCTGTAACCATAGATCAGACAGATATAACTGTCCTTGTTTGGTGTGTAGGCCCAGGACATGGCCTGTTCCAGAGCTGCTTTCCTGGTCTCCTGTTTCTCCTGGAATAATTTGCTAATTGTTGAAGCAGAACCTCTTACTCTCTAGGCTACTTCTCTCAGGCTGGCTTCAATCAAGTCAGTAGTAAGCTGGAGATCTTTATTACTCAAGTGCATGGTCACATCATCAGATGCTCTTGTGTTAATTGAATTCATGTCTTTCGGGACAGGTATTTATACAGATTCTTAATCAACTAATTTTGATTATTTAAAATTAACTCAAAGATGAAACACTGTGCGCCTGGCATTTTTATAAAATCAGCTGTAACCTTTCCATCAATGCGTATAAGTTACAAACATTATTGGGATCATGGTAATATAATAATCCAACTGGGAATATATTGCTATAAGAATCCATCCATCCATATACTGTATTTTCTAGCTCCTTTATCCGGGGCAGTGCAGTGGCTCTGCGGCTAAGGATCTGCGCCTGTGGCTGGAAGGTTGCTGGTTTGTATCCCGCAGTCGGCAGAAGAATCCTATTCCACTGAGCAGAGGCCCTTAACCTCAGCTGCTCCAAGGGTGCTGTATAAGATTCTCTCCCTGTCTGTGTGTCTCATAGAGAGCAAGCTGGGGTATGTGAAAAGACAAATTCCTAATACAATAAATTGTATATGGCCAATAGAGTGATCTTATCTTATCAATAAATGGTCACTGAGGAGCCGGAGCCTAAGCTGGCAAGGCAGGATACACCCGGGGCAGAATGCCAGTTCGTCACAATAATATAATAATGCAATATTATATTGTTATTATAAAAAGTGAAGAAGAGAAGCTTTAAAATTTCTAAAATGGAACAAGAAAAAAACAACAGGTTTTTCCTCAGATTAAGCACTACTCTTTTGGGATAGAGAATCAAAATGTCATGTCAAAATGGAATTCAAAAGTCACACATTTGTTGAATGCCATTCCTTTCAGTTACTAGATAAGTGTGAATCCAGTCAAGTTATCTCTAGATACTACTGACACTGCATCATAATTAGAGGAATAATCCATAATTTGCTTAAACGGTCTTGCTGAAAAAAGGAACTAAAAATTAATGGAGGTACCACACACTCAGAACAGAGTTTACTGGATTAAAGGTATATATTGAAAGTCGTAGACTTCTCTTTTTATTAAGCATAAGAAATTAATCAATCACCCATTTGAAACCGTTTCCTGAATACTAATTTCTAATGACATTTCTGAACAATCATGAAAAGGAAAAGGAATATGTCTTTCAAGATAATTAAATATCATGTTAGTAGTCACACACTGACCCTCTCCCCATCATCCCCTTAATGCGGTTTTCTATATCTGAAATTGCTCCTGTTCCTCAGCACACATCAGTACCTGCAACACAGGCTAAAAAGTTTTATTTTCTGCAAGGAAGTCCTTCATTGTCTTGTAATTTATATGGGTTAATTAAAAACTGGAAGTAGATGGCAGGCTAATTGTCAAATTATGATAATTACATGTCTTTGTTATGCTACAGCTGTTGAGAATGAGCTTGAGGTCAAAACACACCGAAAGCTAGAAGCTGCTCTGTAATC